TAGGGTGTGGAGGGGCCCCTTTAAGCTATGGGGAAATGCAGGGGGACATGCCTGGGAGAATCAGCTAGTTGTGGTCCCATGTGGACCTTCTTGTACTGCCTTTGGTGCCTTTTCATAATCTTTCTTGGTGGCAAGTTCTAGTTACAGAGCTGCTACTGAGGACTCAGCTCTTCCCCTGCCACCTCCTGACACCACTAATAAAGCTCTCCCTTTCTTCTAAGATATTATTTGAACAAACTTTAGCTGGGAGGGAGGGAATGAGTTCACTGCTTCAAGCCTGTGGGATCTGGGGTTGCAGAGGGTCCTGGCCATGGGCTCACTGTGCTCTTTGCTGCTGAGGCTTTGTGGGTCCAGGACATTAGGCAGCATTTCAGATAAACCTCTCAGGCGTGGCCCAGGCAGCAGGGAAGGGCATCTAGGTCATTCTGCTAATAAGGAGGCAGCCACTAATGAGTCCACTTCTGCTGTCCTGCCTCTCCAAGAGGGAAGGGAGAAACCTTAGTGTGTCCCCAAGTCAGGATTGATCACACAAAAGAGTTGCCCCACTCTTCAGAGGATCAGGAATCCGCTGGACAATGTTTTGGTGCCATCATGCCTAGCAAGTGGATCCAGTGACCCGTTGTTGAGGTATTAATTTTTGGGGAAGGTGTCGTGTTTCCAAGTCCAGAAAGTTCAATTTGCAAAGTGTTACTCATTCCAGACTGGAGTAGGAACTGGGGAGTACAGGTAGGGGCCCAGAGCTATGAAAGCTCTTGGCTCACTGCCATGCAAGGAAACCTCAGAGAGAGGGTTTGGCTAATAAATGGCTGGTGTTTGTGCCAGAGACTCCACTATACAGCTCAGCAGGAGCAGGCTCTTCTGCCCCAGGGACAGCTCCAGTGTGCTGGGATGACAACCAGGTCCCTGCTGTTTTCTCTAGTAACAATAACAGTTGATTTGCAGTGCACTGTTCTTCACCGGCTTTTCTGCAAAAGAGGATCCTGTAGTAGGAGGGAGGAGCAGGGGATTCACTGGCTAAATAATGCTGCTCTGACAACCCACCCCACAAGCAAAGCATGCTCAGCTCTTGCTGCTCCAGCTGAAGGATTTCTGCTGGTGTTCCCCATCGCAAGCTCAGGCCATCCAGCTGCAGCTCTGACATGCTCCACAGGCTGCGTTTTGTGACAGAGGTTACATGGAGGATTCCAGGAAGGTATGGGTAGGAAGCAGATGCAGAGGGGTCACCACAGCTGCCTGGGCAGCTCACAGGGCACCACAGTCCAGCTCTGCATCATTGAGGACACAGTTCAGTTTCTAGGCTGAATGCCACCTGTTACTCTAATTTATTCCTGTGGGATGCACAAGCTATCTTGCTGACCGTCCAGTTGCATTGAATGCAGAACATCCTGGGCCCACTTTCTATTGATTCCCCTGCTCTCAGAGACCAGGTCCCCATCTTCTTCAGTGTGCCTCTGACGGAAGTTTTATTAATGCAAAACGAATATCCCTCTGGAAAATGAAGTCCAGAAATTAATAATGAATTAAAACAACTTGCCACAGGCATTGCTAATGAGCTCTTTGTCTGCGCAGCTCACATGAAAGGAGGTCATTGCTCAGCCATTCACATCGCGAATGGCAAGAAGATTAACCGTTAACATCGAGCGCGAGGGGCTCTCCTGGGACATCGGGACAGGCTGCGGCTCAGCTTGTGCCTGGCTGGGTTTTCCTGCCTCATCCCTGCTGTGCAAGTTTGTCTTGAGGAGTATTTACTACCTGGAGAAGATGCCTTCCTTCTCTCTCCTCCAAAGGACTCAGGTTGCCTGTCTGTGCTGGGAGGACACGGGAGTCATCCCAAGGGAAAGGACAATAACCTTGCAGAGCTTAAGGGTAGAGAGGAAAGTAATCTTGAGGGGGACTAGCAGGGCTTAACTTCACTGCTTCATAAGCCTCTTCAGGGACTCTGGCCCAGTAACTAACTTGGCACTGCTCCAGTGCTGGGTCTGCATCTATTGTTCTTTCCCCTAATCTTGCAAGGCAAAGGGTTATCCTGCCTTATCTGCTACCACAGGCTTTGGAGGAGGCCCCACAGCAAGGGCACTGGAGATCCTGCCTCTGCCAAGCCCCAGGGGCAGGAGTGGGGCTGTGCTGGGTGAGGAGCATCCACTACTGGGCAGTAGAGAAGGGAAAGCTGTCACAGCAAGCTGACCATCTCTCCATGGCTGTTTCATCATCCAGGTCTCACTCAGCAAAAATAAGGAAGCAGCATATTGCATTTACCCATCTTGTCTGAGAAGGGTGGCTGAAGGCGAGTGCCTTTGGTGCTGCTCTGTGCTGGATAGCTGGGGCTGGATGCAGTAGTTTGTGGGGCAAGGGATGCTGGACACCACTTCTCCATGAGGTGGCTGAACAGCAGCAGGGGATTTTACCCTTTGACAGTGTCCCCTGTGGCACTCCTGACTGGCTGGAGCAGAGGGACCCATCACTCCCCCATGTCCATGGGAAGCCTGTTACACATCAGCTTTTTATTGCTCTGTTCTGCTTTCTTGTGAAATATGAAAGCTCAGCCTCTTCTTTCCAAGTGCTTAAGCCAGGCTTGGGAAAATGCTATTATGTTAGAGGCATGCTGTTTCACCACCCTTCTCCACCCCTGCCCTCTCAGGTGGGACACTGATGGCTCACTCCCTTGCTTGGCAGCACAATTGCTTGTTTGTCAAATAACTGAGTCACCCCAGAGCACTGGGTGCCAGGTAGTGACAGCCACGCAGCTCTGAGCCTGCGATGCACTCGAGGCATGACTGGATTCACCTCCACCAACCGCCCCCACCTTGGCCTTGGTCACGGAGGAGCCAGACCTGCCATGCATTCCCACCCGTCCTCTTGTGGTAGTGCTGGGTTGGGAAGAAATCCCTTTCTAGTGCAAAGAATTCAGCCCAATCAGGAGAGAAAGTAGCAGGGAGACTTGGGCAGGAGCGAGGGAAAAGCACAGCTTCAAGACTACACATTGACAGGCTCAAACTCTTTTTCCTGTCTCTCCTTTAAAAGTTTTTGCATGTTTGTCTGCTGTTAAGCTGAAAACTCATCCAACACCCCACAGTAACCTGCCACCTGCACTGAGCCTGTGTATCTCTGAATCCACCTGGCAGTCTTATCATCCTCTTTGTCACAGTATTTTTGTATATCGTAAGTCAAACTGTAGTTTGTTCTTCAAATGCTCTGTCAAAGAGAGATTCATCTTGAAGGAGACAGGGATGCTGCAAATGTCCCTCTCACCCATCACAATGCCAGGACAGAAGTAACTGAGGAGTCTCCAGAAAGTCTGGAGACTGGTGTGCTCTTTGCTTGGGTCCCTGAAGGGACTTAAGGGGACAGGGGATCTGACCATGACCTCATGCCTGGTCTGCTCATCTCTGAGCACTGTTTGGAAGCTGATTCAGGCATGAAAGTCAACGCAGTCAGCAGCAAAGTCATAGCACAGGCTCCAACAGTTGTGTCTGAGAAGTCTGACTTGGGAATTCAAATGAAGCTGGTTGCATCCCACCTATTTGTTACCTGCCAGCATGTTCCTCCTACACAGCAACTTCTTTTGTATTCAGAGGCTTCTTTAAGCCAGTGTTGCATTTAGGCACAGCTATTGCTTCGTTCTTTGCTGGAATGACCTAGAGACCCCCTGTGCATTTGGTGCCCCAAAGGGGCAGTTCAGACATTACTGTAACTGCTATAACTAAAACACAGCAGGAAGAAGGGTGTGTAGATGCCAGGGAAGTGTACAGGCAAAGACTCAGCTATGTCAAATACTATGATAGTGCTGGGTTTAGGGACATTTTCAGAGGTTGAGAGTCTTATGAATCTGTTTGGGTGTTAAAGTACAAATCAGAGATTTTTCAACAGCAGCTGTGCTTGTGTTTGCAGGACAGGGCAGTTGATTAGGACAGCAGGGTTATCAGGTCCCCAACACCCATTTTCTGCACAGCATCATCATTTCACCTCCGTTTAACAACAGGTTCATGTCTGGGGTAACTGACTCAGCTGGCTGACAGACTGGTTGGGTCAGTCAAGCCTGCAGACAGTTTTATTTTCACTGAGGCTTGCAGCACAGAGATTTGTAGACCAAATCCTTATAAACAGTCACATTGTTGGGATCTCTGACCCCAGCTGTGCCAGTGCTGCTGTAACCAGTGCAGCTCTGGGATCTGGGGCCATTGCAGGCTGCAGCCACCTGGATCCTTTGAACCTCTCTTTCCTCCCAGCGACAGTCAGGACAAGAGCTGTGTTATGGCCAAGGCTTCAGAAGTCTGATCAGAAACACAGGAGCTCAGCCGAGCAGGGGAAAATTCATAGAGGCAGAAGGATACATTGGAGTTAAAAGACAAATAAGATTTTGCAGAAAAGGTTGTAATGCACCATCCTCTGATTCTCTGAGCTTGGCTTTTATGCTCTTATAAATGGTATTTTGAACACGTGTGCCTACTTGCCTGTCTTTCTTTCCAAGTGCCTAAATTTGAGGATATATCCTTATCTCTCTATGACAAGCAATAGTGAATGGGAAACTATTTTGTTCTGTCATTTACTACTCATTTGGTCCTGTCACATCCTATCTTTTGGCACTATGTATTTTGTTAGTGTTATGAGCATATATCCATGCTGTGTGTGAGAGAGTGGGTGTCTGAAATGTGTTTGCAAAGGTCCTTGATAAAAAGCTTTAACAGCTAAAATTATCAAGAGAGGCAGGAGGGATCTGGTCCTGGTAGATCCCAGCACTGGCAGGCAGCAGGTCATCTGTCTGCAGGGACATTAAGCGCTGAATAGGTCAGAATTGCCAGGTTTTTATTATTTACCTGGGAGAGAAACTACTGCTCATTTCAAGGGACTAATGTTCTTTGGAGATTTAGCTTGAACACCAGAGAGAACATAAAAGCAACAGCTGTGGAGTGTCTTCAAGGATAGTGTTTTCCTCCAGAAGCACAGTGCAGTTCTACCCAAATTCTCCTCATTAATCACTTTCTTTCATTCTTATTTTCCAGCCAAAGCTTTTGGCCAAGGAGTTGCTTGACTTGGTGGCATCTCATTTCAACCTGAAGGAGAAGGAGTACTTTGGAATTGCATTCACAGATGAAACGTAAGTGTGAAAAATTGAAGACCTAAGAGGCAACTCTTAGATCACAGAAAATCTTGTTGGGTTTGCCCTAAGCAAAGCAACCATCGTAGAAACCCTATGCACACCAAGGTCCTAGACCAAGGTCTAGGAAGGCATGGACCTCACATCAGAGGCTGTCCTATGCTGCCCCTTCCTCAGAGGGCTTGAGGCCTCTCATAGCAAGTTAAACACAGCTGGAAGTGAACAGAGGTAGTAACAATCCCTTCCTAACCCCGTGTTCAAAGAGTTGGAATCATTTGCCATTGTTAAAAGGTCTTATGGATCTAAGATCCACTCACCAGTTCAAAATTATTACCACATTGGCAGAACTGTTCAATCAAAGTGTTAATCAGTTTATTCACTCAAGCAGGCTTAAAAGTGATGCTACGTTATTTCAAGGAAAAAAAAAAAAACCAGCTTCACAAAATTAATCTACTATTTCTGATGTTTTAGAACCCAGATTGGAGTCTCTTAAAAAGAAAGAAGGAAGTGTGGGAAAGGAAGGGATTGCCAAATTTAGCATGAATTAAAAGCATTTTTAAATATAAAATTTCCATCATGGAAAGGATTTGACCTCACCAGGAATCATACAACAGCCTTATGGCTGAACTAAACCAAAGGATGGGACACTGACACTGCAGTCACTTCAGTGTTGGTTGTTTGCCTAGAACCTCAGCTCCCAGAATCCTCAAATTACCACAAAATTTCAGGGTTTGTCTCAAGACAGGCCATATCTACCCCCTGATTAAACAGCAAGAATAAAATTAGCACTGGAGAAACATCAAGGTCTGCCAAAGTCTATGATTAGTCCTAGGCTGTGACCCCTCAGTGCTACTGCACAATCCCTGCTACATTTTTCCAGCTGTCTGTTTTCTCTCAGGAGTTACACTGTCCTTGGCATATGGACTATGTCTGTATGCACACCCACCATACTCCACCTCGGATTGCAGTAGGTTTTCTCTTCGTATATGAATCAGGAAGAGGCTTCCCACACCTGCATCATTTTAAAACCCCAAGATTTTCGAGCCAGTGCTGTGTCCCCAGAGCAGCTGAGTCAGCAGTATTGCTGTCGTGAGCCAGTTCCGCTCTCCTGCTGAAGTAGCAGGGAAATGTAAATCATCTGCTGGAATAATGATTCAGGATCGGGTAATCAGAGGCTGCTGGATAATTGCACAAGTATATCCTCGTTCATCTCAGCAGCGATCACCCCTCTGAAGTCAATTCCTTTGGCAAGTGCCTGCCTTGGACAGCCTGAGGCCACCTCAGGACACAGCTCCCAGGATGCAGGAACACTCAGCATCAGGCACGTGCAGACACAGTACCCAAATCCCAGAATCCATCCCAGATCACTGATGTGAGCAGCTCAGCACTGTAGGAGATTTCCAACCCAACACCAATTAATGAGACTGATCCCCCAAGCAGGAGGCACTGGTCATTTACACAGCAGGAGGAGGAAATTGCTCTTACAACGGTCTTATTTCACGTTGGAGAGAGCAAGTTACTCAGTGGTGCTGCCTGAGGAGTGCAGGAAAACCACACAGAGAGGCCAAAGCACACTAGGAGGTGAAAATATTCTCTTAACAGTCCTAACAGCACAGGTGAGAAACAAGACATGTCAGACTGCAACCAGAGCAGCTGAGCAAGTCCCAGCTCTCAGCTGAGTTGTGAGGGCGCAGGGCTCCCCTGGGAGTGCAAGGGAAGCTAATGAGGAGGTGTCAGCAATTAGAGAGAGCCCAGTCTCCCCTGGGGCCCACAGATTTAACTCCAAATGGTGTAAGCAAAGATCTGAGTTAGCAATGGGAGGAAATGCAAGCAGCTGATAGAGGTTGTTGAGACAGAGCTTGAAGATACACAATGGATACAGATGGATGTGCTCTGTCCTGGCAGGATTTCAAAGGGTTAGGTGATGGCATCCACTCTCCTGGTCACCTTCAGACCTGTAGTCAAAGTGAAGCAGGGTGCATTTTAGGAGATCCTCATCCAGACTACATGAAAGTTTTGGGGACACCCTCATTAAATCAAGGAAATGCAATCCAGAAACAAGCCAATAAGTCCAAGCTGATCTGAACCTGATCTGCAGGTTCAACCAAGCTGGTCTGCAGCCCTTCTTGCGTCCCACTGTGACTCTGACATTTGCACTGAGGCTTCTTCAGTGCTATGAATATAACCTTGACAAAAGTATTTCTTCTTCAGTTGTAAAATGCTTTGAATAGAGTTGTCACGAACAGCAATTGTTTTCTTTGACTGAACATAGACAAAAGAATATACCTGAGGGCTTGGACAGGGTCTTGGAAATGGATGTTCCATGTCAACTTGAGAGAATAAACTGGGCTGTCTGTACCACAGACCTTAACCTGCTATGTGAAATGGAAATATAAAAAATCCCCTTCTCAAAAAAGTAGTAAAAACAGTCTCCTAATTTGTATTTGCAGGGCACCTAATGCAGCCCTTTAGCTGATACAGACCAGGCATGTGAAAAGAAACCCTTTAATTCTATGACACAGACCCTCAGGGACTTCCTTCTCTTCACTCTCCACTGAGTTTCCATGTGCCTTACTTGAAGGGAACTCATAACCAGATAAAACAGAACAAGCCTGGTTCATAAATGTAGTCTGGGGTTGGCTAAATCACAAGTTTAGAAAGAAGAAAAGCCACTAAAGTATTAAATCAATTCTTCTATTTAAGAGTAAAAGCTCTATGAGAGTAATTTATTTAGAAATTATTTGGACTGGGGATTTCCATTCATTAGTTCTGCTCTATCATGACAACCTTAGAAGAAAATCAATAGGAACAACCTTTGCGTTGGCAACTTAATAGCTTCTTGTGATAATATAGGGCCATTACTGCATTCAGCGTGACTAAAATTAGATTGTCAGACTATTATGGAGGGGGGAATAACGCCTTCTATTTTAATGATCACAGGAACTCTTTATGGTGAGCCATTAACTGCGGGAGAGCACAGGTCAAAAGGATGTCCCTGTGCAGCACGTGGGGCCAAGCTTCACAGGAAGCCAGAAGAGCAATATGCTGTTTGATTAAAACTGAAAAAGAATGGGGAAAGGGCTATTTTTTTTTTTTAGTTCAGCTGGTTATGAATCTCCGCTAAGTGCCCTTTCCCTTGGCATCAGCTCCTCCAGCATTCACTGAGAGCAAGTGGTCAGGATTACCCTTCTGTTCACTGCAGACTCCCCGTCTGGGCCATGGGCAGGTTTTCCACATCCTTTACTTGTCCTTAGATGCGAGTCACCTGCTCCATGGAGAGTTACCAGTTTTTGCATCCCACAGCTCCCCCTCTCTGTGGGTCCAACCGAAAGCTGACTCAAACCCTTTTGCTCTCTCACCAGAAGACAAGCTGCAGAACACCTTCTTCAGCTGATTAATACATATCATAAAAACTGCAAGGCATTGAGACCCCCAGTATTTGTGTTACATGTGTCTAGAGATTGTACTAACGTGATGAGGCCAGTGATAGAGGATGCCCTTGCGCAGCACAGGTCTCTATGGCCAAAGGGATGTCAAAGGGACAGTAGGGTACTACCCTTCCCTGGAATACTCTCTCATCCCTGGGAACTGGGGGAAGCCTATTACCACCCTCCAGCCACGTGGTAGAGCCAAAATGAGAGAGCAGGTGTCTCACATCCTGGTTGAACAGCTGGTCCACTGGAGGGTGCAGCATTCAGAGTAATATCGTGCTCTGGCACTGGACCAGTTCCTTTATCACCAAGTCCACTCTTTTCCAAAATCTGCATAGTTAAATTCATATAGCTCCTTGAGTTTCTCAGCCACTTCAAAAGTATTTCTTAATTTAAAAAATCTGTGATCTTAAAGGGTTTTTGTTTCTGTCACAATTGATGAAACCATAAAACAGTTTATATGGTTCCTATTATGTGAATTGATATTTCTCAGTGTCTACTCAATTCAACATGAGTTTGACACTGAAGGGTGTGAGTTGGTTTATTGGTCCAAATACCTTTATGACACAAATCAATGTGGATCCACTTTTCAGAAAACTGGACACCAACCAGTAAAACTGCATAAACAGAACCACCTGGAGGCAAAGTACTCATTGATGTACCACTCTTTACTGATAAAAGAAAACAGAACTACTGCACACAATTGACAATATGGACCCTGAGCAACAAAATCCATACTCAGTCTGTAAACTAAATGGACCCAGTTTCTTCTCCTAAAAGCAATTATGTGGTTGTAGTTGACACACCAGTTTAACTGCCAACATGACTACAGCCAACAGATAAAAATGATCTGGCTTCCAATATTTGATCTCCCTATAGTTTTCCCAAAACTGTTTACACCATTATTTGTGAATACACTGATACAAATACCCAAACGAACAAATCAGTGGTGATAACGAAACAAAAGCTACTTTGTGTCTCTAAACTGAACCATGAAGGAAATCCAGCTAGACTTAGGCACGTATGAATGGGATCCCAGTGCAAGCTGCCTAAACTGGTCCATGAAAACTGTCAGGATTGCTACATGCCTAGGGTTATATGCCCTTACTTATTCTCTGTCTTACATGGGCTTGTGCTCCATGAATAGTTCTGCTGACGACAGGAGGACAGCTTCCAGAGCCAAGCGTTTTGTGGTGTAACGGCATCGGAGTTTGGCTCCCTGATAGACCACATTCACAGGCAGATGCCAGTGACTATTCCTTGCTGCTGCTCTCTACATGCCACACATGCACACTTGAGAACAAGGAGTTAGGTGACAGTCTGCAGTGCAGAAGCCCTCAGCGATGAAAGATTGCAAGTAGTAATTGAGTACAGTGAGCAGTTAGCTCCTGGCAGGGATTTAAGTGACCTTCCTCCTCTGAAGGAGCTTCGGATTTAAGCTCCATGCAGATGAGAGTAATGAAACTCTTCAACCTAAAAACTCAGTGGCAATTAAATGCGTTATTCAGTGCACACAACCGTGTACGTGTGGGACATAAATGTGTAACCTGGTACGCACACGTCTATGCATGTAGTCACTTTGTACTGATTGTATCAACCAGCTTCTCCAGTTAAAATGCAGGGAGAAAGAAAAGTCTTCTCAAAACAAGAAATACCTTGAAATGATTTATTGTGCTGTGCACTGTGGCTTCTCAACCCTTCCTTGTGCACGTTAGGCAAACCCAGACATTGCTGTTGAATAAACATAGAGGTAGACAGTACGTCCATTGTCAACAACTCTGCCTCGGTGGGAACTCGTGTGTAACACCATCAGCTGCTGGTGGCTGCTACTTCGGTGATACAAATGGAACTGGACAGGTTCGGGATAGGATGTCAGGCTTAGTGTGGCTTTTGGTTGCTCTGACAGTGCTTTGTGCTGTGGCCTATGTGGTTAACTGCTCAGGTTGTCCTTTGGCTAGGAATGGGTGAGCACGACTAGTTTCAATCCTCATCTGTACTTCACAGCTAATTTCAGCCTTCCTGACTCCTGTTAAAAGAAACATAATAGCACTTCAGGACGAAAAAGAATAGGGAAAAGGACAGATTTTAAGAAGGGGGGATGCAGCAGGAAACGTAGACACCTCTAATATTTGGGTGCCCAGGCTGAAAATCTTTCAGTGGGGCTTATTTTCTGTCAGCCTGGAACATCAGTCTTCTAAAAACCAAATCTTGTTAAAGTACCTATCTGTGCTGAACAACAGAGAATGATGCAGGGTTCCTACAGTAGCACTGGGCAGCTGCATCCCAGCAGCAGAAATGATGGAAGGAGACCCCACTGTGCTGCATGCCCAGCTATGGAGCCTGCTTAGAGCCAGTTAGTCCCTACACCCAGCCCAGTTAGCAAGGCCATCCTCACCCTGATCCCAGTGCTGTCACAGTCTGGGCAGACTTCCCTCAGTCCATGAGCTGAAACAGAGACATAGGAAGAGACCAGTTGGGCTTGAAAATCTGCATGATATCACCCCTTCCCAGTAGGCAGGCTGCTGCTACCAAGTCTACGCCCTTAATACACAGTTCAAGCTTCCCCTTACCTTGAGGGAAAAGAAATTAAGAAAAAAACATGTAAAAACTTCATCTAGAGAAAAAAACTGTCTAAAAATTAAAATATCTTGGAAAGAAACACACAGGTGTCTGCAACAGGGGATAAAATAGGCTTTGATTCCTTTTGTACACCAAAAGATGCTCAGGATGAGTTTGAAAAGTCCCTGATTCCACATGTATCACTTGTACCAAAAGACTCAGTACTTTTGCAAAACAGATACAGAGGCTGCTTAAACTGAACACCTGACTTCTATATGGCAAAATCTGAGAACTCTTTTGTAGGTGTCTGATCCTGAACTCACGGCAGTGATGAGTGAAGCTCACCAGTGACTTTGAATTCGTTAGTGCAAAGCAGTGTGCTGGCTGAGGTGAGCCCACACAGTGTCCCAGATGGTCCCCAGGGCAGCCTGGAGCTGCCTGGGTGGGAAGGTCCCTGAGCTGCCCATCCATCCATCTTCTGCACCCATGTAAACCAGGGCAGCAGTACAGAAATTCCAACTGAACCCAGGTGATTCAAAACCTCCTGAAACTGCTGTTTTCCCCTTTATTTTTCTAGGAAAGGTGGAGCAGTGGAGATGTAAATCCAGTTAAATTGCTACAGAGCTGTCACTGCCTCCTTTCCAAAGGGGTTTCTCAGTTGCCCAAAGATCATGCTTCCTTCAAGGAGGAACAGGCAGACCCCTGTGAAAGCTGAGTGTGTTTGCTGACAGGGTACATTGCTAAGTCTTGTTGCAATTCTAGAAGTTAATTTAATGTAGGGTTTTTAAACCAAGCTCCTTTTTTTTGCCTTTTCTTTTTTTTTTCATTTACAGTGGAATGAAGAATTATTCTTGAGGATTAGCATGAGCTGGTGAATAGGCACTGGAATAAAGCTCAGGACATCTGAGTTGCATTTCCTGCTTTATTTGCTGCAAGATTCTCCCCCAAATCACTTCAATTCTCTCGCTCCTTGCTTGTCTAGACAGCAGAGCAAGGGCTGCCTCTCCCTCTGGGTGAAATCTGGTCTGGCTGAAATCAATAGCAAAAAGCTCACAGGATGCAGTCCTAGCATCACTGGAGGCAATGGCAAATTTCTGGCCAGATCCAGTGGGGCCTGAAGTTTACCCTAGGTATTTCCACAGTGCCTAATTTAACAGGGCCTTTATCTCGGTAGGGGAGTAAGATGCCCCTGTAATACAAATAACGGTATTTATAAAGTCCCTCTCACACACACACAGCACTCTACAACGTGGGGAACGTGACAAAGAACAGAGCTCCTGCCCAGGAAAGCTTCCAGCAGCAAGGCACGAATGGATAAATTACAGGAGAAAATAACGACGACAGGTACCATCTAGGCAAAAGAAAAGCAGCATGTGGTAATTGGAGCTGGAACGCTTCACAGAGCAGCTGTTTCTCAAGAGCTCTCTGAAGAAGGAAAAACGAGGGCTGGGCAAACCTAGAGAGGCTATTGCAGGCATGTGGGTGGTAAATAAACTGTCTCAGGCTGTAGAGTCAGGTTTAGCCTTGAGTGAAATACTGCAGGCGTCGTGGAAACTCTTAACCATAAGGATTTCCAATGAAAATCTTGACAGACTTTTAATGATACAACTGCTCCAGGGGCTTGCAATAAAAAGGTGAAGCTTATAACATTTTGGGCTGTCCTGCCTGCTCAGTGCTGCCAGCTTTCACCCTGACAGATTGAACTTTAGCAGTTCGATTCCCAGACTGAAGCGCTGCCAGGATGATATCGCCTCCGCTCCTCAAACATTTACTGTGTGTTTTTCAAATATCATGCAATAGTCAAGGGCAAATAGCAGGTGCTTCGGCTCGTATTTTGTAACACCTCAGACCTCATTGCCATGAGGAGTGAGAAACCTCTTTGGTGCCAGGCTCAAAACTGTCTCTTCTCTTGCCAGGGGACACTTGAACTGGCTTCAGCTGGACCGGCGGGTGCTGGAACATGACTTCCCCAAAAAGTCAGGACCGGTTGTTTTGTACTTTTGTGTCAGGTAAGTGCGTGATGGTGAGCCCTTCCCATAGGATACAGCAATGGACAACCTGTTCTCTGCAGACCAGGAAGTGAGGTTGTCAGTTTCTCACACTGTAGAAACACCTGTGGACGAACAAACGCTTCTGCAGAGGTTTCTTTTGAGCTGTCTTTGAAAACTCTTCTCACTCAAGTGTAAACAAGTAGAAGCCACACTAACGCCCAGAGCTGCCCGCAGAGAAATGTTGCATGAGGACAAGGTCAGATGTTATGTCTTTACACTTTTATTTGTGGGCTTTGAACTGGAAAGTCCAAGCTGGGTAGGGCTGAAGAACAAAGCTCTCTTTCTGCCAGGACAACCCATCTGAGCCAGCAACCTGGAGGGAAAACACTCGCTTCCTCACCGGCAAGCCACATTTCCTCTGGATTGTGCCCAGGGTGTGCGTTCTGTCAGGGACCAAATCAATCCCTGTACAGCTCTGTCATATTCACCTTCTGAACTCACAAATAGCAAATTATGGCACTTTATGGCAGCCAGTTGGCTTCCACATGGCTGGATCAGACTAGAAAGGTTTTAACGAAGATTATTGTAGTTTGGGAGCTTCAAACTTCATCTGGGATTTTTACAAGGAACCGTTAGTGCTTGGAAGCTGCTGGAAGCTGCCAGTGCTCTTGTGTACACAGTGCCTTTGCCTCCAAGGGAGATATTTTCTGAGAAGACAAATTTGCTCTTGCAGCTTTGAAACGCCCAGAGAGAGGCCTGGGGCTGAGATGGCATATGTACAAAATTAAGTTGAGGTTTTTGACTTACTTTTAATGGATAGCTCATGTCTAGAACTAGCCAGTGCAGCATTACCATGTCTTTTTCTGTTAGGCTTTCCGCTCCAGTGTTATATTACATCTGACATCACTCTCATTCATTCCATAGTGCCCACAAAAAATGAAGACCTACTTTTGAGTTTCTTCCCCTGAGTGAAGCCTTTTTTTAACTTGCATAGTGATTGTCATTCGTTTAACTTCCATTACAAGGGGGGGTTCTCAAGAGAAGAGACTCTTTGTTCTGTTATGTCCCCATGTTTAGTGGTGGACGGCCCCATGAGTCCAGAATTTGCCTGCTGTCTCTCAAGAGAAAAGTTTAGTCTACATTTTGAGTGCTTCAAACCGTAAGGGTAGATCAGAGCTGAACAGCTCCAGTGTGTAAGATCCAGATCCACCTGTGCCTAAAATTAATAAAATTGTTGATGCTCTTAAGTACACATCAACTCTGTTATCAAACATCTTGTCTAGGGGCCAAATTAAGGAGTCTGTGCTAGGACAGGGATCCCATGGAAAGCAGGGAAAGCTCTGGCTGAGCAAGAGCTAAGTGCAGGTTTTAGGAGTGGAACTGTTAAATGTGTGAAAGCCGGTGCTACTGAGCCGCTCTCATATTCATTTCAAAGACCACTCAACAAGCATAAATATTGCCATCTGTATTGTTTTATGAAAGTTGGCAGCACAGTGGAGACCAGTCATTCTATCAGGATCGTAGCCAAGAGACATCCTAGGATATGGATCCATGTAACAGTTAGTGAATGAGTGACCCCTCCTGTTCTGGAATTGCAATCCACAGGGGAAAAAACACAGCATTCGGTGTCTGAAAAGTGTGTGTGTGAAAACCAGACTGATTGTGGACTTTTATTGGGGGCAGTAATGAGTGGATTGTCACACTGAGTTATGATTTGGATTGGAGTGGAAGGCCAGATGCTTCAAGAGTTAGGAATAGGCATTAACTTACCATGGCTTTTCTACTGCTTATTTCCCCTGTGGATGTCAGCCGCTGGCAGAAGTTGAAAAAGTTTCTCAGCACATAAAGGGTTCCCATGTTCATCCCCAGATCTGATCTGAGCAGAAGGCAATTGAAGAAACCAACTCCAGCCAGATGGCTGAAGTTGGAAAGGCCCCACATATCTGTTACCCAGTGGTTTCAGTTCTGGCTTGGGAACAAAAGCAAGGGCTGACAGAAAGGTTGTGAAGAGACCCACCCATAGATGGGGTTTTATTTTCATAATCTGGGGGATGAGTGGCAGTTTGAAAAGACATCCATAAACATACCATAAACAGAATGCTCCCTCTCCCATGCTGCCCTCATCTGGAAAGCAGAGATAATTAGTGCTGTGCCATACCTAATGACAGATGTGTTCATTTTTAAGGGACTGGGTGCCCATAACACCTACCATGTTATTGATAAAGGCTTGCCTGTGCTTGCAGATACCTTCTTGCATTACCCCTCCCAAGCATTGCAGATGACAAAGCTTAGATTGGTGCAGGGCATCCTAACTGGGGAGACAGTAATACAAGTAACTGGATGTGCCAGATGCTCATGACACAGAAGTCTGTTTTCTGCGTCGGGATTTAGTAATGGTGTGGGGTTTTCCCTCTAGTCGAAGTAAATGTACAATTCAATCACACTGTGTAGCTACTGAAGAGATGAAGCCTCAGGCAAGAACAGTGAATGGTAGTTTGTGAAGAGGAGAAGCTACATTTTCACCTTTTTTATGTGAACATCAGATTGTTTTTACCCTCAACACTCCTGCAGCAATGTTGATGGGCAGCATGCCCGCAAAAGATGCCATAGATTTTAGCTTGCTCTAAAAGTACATTTAAAGGGAAGCCTGACTTCTTAAGAAAAGGCTTCTTGGAAGAACCGTGCTGAAAATAGGAAGTTTCACAAGCTTTGCAGTGTGAAACTCTCCTCCCTTTTTTAAATCTCTGCAGCACTGCTGAAGCTTTGTCTTTTGACACACATTTCCTTGGGGTTTGACATTGTTGAACACTGATCTCCAGTGTCTTTACTCTCTTCCGTAATCAAAGGCCAAAAATTTCACAGCACTGTGTCAAAGAAGGAGGATTTTAGAAGGATGTTTTTAGCATTACTTTGTAAGAAATTGCTTCTGCCCTTGTACATTTACACAGCTACTGAAGCCTTCCTGTCTTCAGGTTGTCATCTAGTGCTTCTCTAGAAGCTTTCCACTGAGAATAACAGAAATCTAGGAAGCAATCAAAACTCTTGGGCAGCTGTGAACTGCCCCATGGCTATTGTGCAACATTATTTTATAAAACTCTGATAATATCTGTTTACATAGCTCTAAAGCCACAGGGAAAGCAAGAGGGAGTGCTATGTGTCATGCAGGGGAGGTGGGATGTCTGGCAACTGGATAGGAGTGATATTAGTTCTCATCTTAGAATTAGCTTCCCTGGATGGCTTCCGATAACCCTGGTCACTTGGCTGTTGGTGAAATTCGTTCCCTGCCTTGGAGGGTTTACAATGCAGGTAAGCCAAGTCAGATGAGAGTCACTGTTGAAGTCCAGGGGAAGCGAAGGATGGGGATAAAGGAAAGAGGGATTGCTTGGTTAGAGTTGTTTTGAGACCAGAAGAGAACAGAGGGTGTGGTAAAGGGCAGGGACCTAAGTGTGGAGACTCAGGTGTCAAAGAGGTCAGAGGTAAACAGAGCTAGCAGGGCTTCAGATAAAAGTTGTTATACTTTAGGCAGGGAAGGAAGCATTTTGCTCAGTCACACATACAGAAGGAGGGCAAAGTTACTCCCTTTGTGTAGAACTTCGAGGTGAGAGAGGACCAAAGCACAGACATGATGTTTGTTCATGGAAAGCAAAGTTGGCCAGGCTTTGCAATGAGTTCTCATCCTCAAACAATGGCCTTGTGAGATTAGCGATCCTTAGAAAGGGAACCACCAGCATGGGTCTGATTTCTTTATCTTCTGGGTGTTTGTCATGCTGTTAATTTATATGAACAAACTTAGCAAATAAAATTCACTCCACTGGTGGATCTTTTCCCAGGAATGAATATATTTGTTCTCAGGGTAGCTCCACCAGCTAAAGAGGGACAGCTCACTGCAGAAGTCGTCACACTAAATCAGAATATCTCTCACATGGAAAGGCTTTTCTTTCAGAACGGCATGGAACAAAATGAGAAATAAATCCTCAATACTCAAATACACTGTGGGGCAGAGTCTGTATCTATGGCCCAGCAGTATTCCCACAAAGGAATGCCTGTGTTCAGCAACATCTGGCATGTGTTCATACACACTGGCTAGGCTGCAGTCAGCATGGGAGCTGTGGGGGCTCAGGACTCTCAATATCAAGGCCAGAGATTTTGCCAGGTTACCACAGTTACTGGAGAACAAAGTGGCCCTAAATAAGAGACCAGCACTAAAACACAGAGTGCAAAGCTCGTGGGTGTCATTGCTCCCTTTAACCTGACGGGACACAGCTCTGTGTGCAGCAGCAGTGGTGCAGGTCCGAGGCAGGTGGGACTGATGTCTGAAATGAGACTTGCCACATCAAACCTGAGATGTTTACCTGGCAGACAGCTCTGTGTCAGGGCTAATTAGTGCAGCTTCCCTGTGAAACCACAGGAAAGAAATAGGCACTTTTCAGGAACAACTCATCTGACTTATTTGAGATGACTTCTTTGGAATTCGACAAGTTGCAGGCTAAAATACCTGTGTCTCTTCTCTGACCTCAGACGCCTGCTCAGACGCCTGCATTTACATCGTAGCTACCTCTTTTCACCTGATGAATCCCTCTGTGTGCATCAAGGGCAGTCTATAAATTTAAAATTATTATTTCAAGCAGGTTGGCACAGTCAGGGTTGAGGAAGCATTTCCCATCTACAAGGTTTTGCCTGACTACCTAAATGGAATTGGACCAGATTTCAGCTGTTAATGAGGCCTTACACTATTTTAGTCTTTCAACCCTCCTTTGTAGACAGTCTTTAAACCTGTGTTCCATTAGAAAAGGACTAATGCTAAAAATGAAAGAAGCAAAAAACCATTTGGAAACAGGTGACCCGGGAAGGAAGAGAAACAGTGGTTGTTCGCAGGACTAGACAGACCTTAGAACTTGTCATTGATATGTACTGCTGCCTCTAACACAGCCCAATCACATGTGTGGGGTGCAGATTCATAGCATCCTGCTCTGAACTTCCCTGACTAACTCACGTGGAAATCCCAGCACACCACGGCT